CCTTTAAACACATCTACTGGTAAGCCTGAGATTAGTTTAAATGGAGATGGTGGGTATGTCTTATATATTAAAATGTACAAGATTATTATCCTGATAATTTCTGTATGTTTCTCAATTAGTTTAAAATTCCATTTTAATTTTTTTTATTTATGTGATTATATATGTATGAACTCTCCATCTAGGTGTGGCCAGGATTAACAGTATTTCCTGATTTTACCAATCCAAACTGCATAGATTGGTGGGCAAATGAATGCAGTATTTTCTATGGAGAAGTGAAGTATGATGGAATTTGGATTGTAAGTATCAATTTTAAACCAGTGATTTGTTCCCTGATCATGGAATTATTCATAAAATGTATTTAACTTAAAATTAAAAGCTCATATTTTTATAGAACATTTAGTATCATACTTCCCATGTTCATAAGTTAGAAAGCAACAAAAATGTAATATTATAAAGAGTGGTATTACTTCTCTAGTAATGAACTTGATAGGAAAAAAAATCTTTTATTTTGTAGCTAAGGTTTTATGTCTCCATGGCTAACAACTTCACTGAAAAACTGATAATGAGGGCTGAGGATGAGCTTATAGGTAACATTTCAAAGCATCTTGAAAGTCAATTATAGTAAAACAGTGATAGCAACATGAATGGGCTTAAGTGCTCTCTCTTTAGAAACTTTTTTTTTTTTTCAGTGAGCCATGAACTAGAACAAATGAAAACTGTCTGTAGGTTTTATTTTATTGCAAGAAATAACAACAGGAGGTGTAATTTGGGCAAGTTTTTGAACAATACACCATGTGTCAACATTGTTTTCTTACTATGTTGTCATGAAATTTTGTTCCATTTTTTAACAAATAAGTAAGTCACAACACAGCAATAAATTCCTAGATAACTTGTAAAGTTTACGTTCTCAAAATTGCATTTTTCATTCATTTTAATGAGAAAAAAAGACAAAATAGCAATGAAACAGTTTCAAAACAGGTTAGTAGGACAGTTACAATAATTAATACATTGCATATTGTTGTGTTAAAAATATGGAACTTTACACGGATTTGCATGTCATCCTTGCGCAGGAGCCATGCTAGTCTTCTCTGTATCATTTCAATTGTAGTATATGTGCTGCCAAAGCGAGCACACTTGTAAAGTTCTAAAAAACTTGAAGCATTTTGAAGTTTCTTTTCTTTCTTTCTTTCTTTTTTTTTTTCCTTCTTTTTTATTTTGCTCCGAATGCCTTCAGGGCAGGTTTGGCTGGCTTGAGTTGTGGGGCTCGAACAACAACAACCTGAGCCTGACAGCTTTGTTGAAGCAGCCACTTAAAGAACTGAGCTAAGGGGCAGGCCCCCTTTTTCTTTTTCTTTTTTTTTGGCAGAACCAGGGATTGAACTCGGGTGCTTGCGCTTGCCAAGGAAGTGTTTAATCCACTGAGCCATCTCCCGAGCCCCCATTATTAAGTTTCTTTGGCTGATTTTTCATTTTAAATTTTAGCTATTCATAAGATTTTTGTTAGTTTTAAGACTCATAGTGATTGTCCTGTTTTTAGACTCCCAAACTCTGGGATTACAGGCGCATGCCGCCACGCCCAACCTGTCTCAGCGCGCCCAAGTGGTAGCAGGGCGGCTTGGCGTGGCGGGGATCGAACCCTGGCGGCTGTGCTCTGCCTAAGCAGAACTGAACTATCTTGCCGGCCCTAAATAGTCATAGTTTGTTGATAGTCATGGACTTATTATGCCTTTCTGACTTTGGTAACTCTCACTCCACTTGAGGAGAAGCCATGTAATGACCCAGAAGATTTGTATTTTATAGAAACACCTGATACACCAGCATGCAAAATAAGCAGCAAGGATTTTATTAAAAGAATAGAATGTTATACTCCTGACGGGTGACATAACTATCTCCCTGGATTGCTCAAGTCTACTATTTCTACTTTCATGAAGTGCTTATTATTCATTTATTCATTATCCTAATTATTAATTATTTAAACAATAATTTATTTAAATCTATTTACTATTAATACCTATATTTTGAATATGTTAATGAGGTTCAAATATGAGAAAATGGTGTTTTGAACTGTGAAATGACATTCAGTAAAAAAATGATTTTCAGGATTCTTATGATGGTATAAAAAGACAAAAAATTTAGTTTCTTTTCAAACATTAAGTCAAGAGTGCACACAGCTTATATATAACTACAGCATGAAATAATTAAAAAAATTATTCTCTGATCTTGAACTTTATTTTCACCTGAGTGTTCATTTATTAATGTTAATTTTCTGTAGTCTTTTTATTTCTTGGTTGAAAAAATCTTTTTGATTTTTTAGAATAGAGTTTGTGAGAGATTCTGTTTGCAGTAGAGAAAAGACTCCATTTCGCACATCGTTGTAGACAGCGACTCATCCGCAAAGAGGAAGGGGGATGGAAGGGCTAATAGCTTCAATAGAGGCCCAGCGCTTTTACTATTATTCTTAATATAAAAATATCGTAACTTATCCCTAAAAGTTAAAGTACACAATAAGAGCTTAAATGTGACTCCACTGCTCAATAAACTCAGCAAATCAATACACACTCTAAATAAACTGTGGTTAATTTTGCTTCCAGCTATGGAATAATTGCAGTTCCTGGTGCTTAATTGGTTCTCTATTCTTTCACTTTCTCTCCATTATTTTTCCTGGTAGAATAACTATTAAATTAATTTCCCTTTGTTATCTACCTGATAAGGTGGTTTTATTTTCATATCAAATCTAAAAATATTTTTCAATTTACTAGTTTTGTATTTTAGTTTCTGTATCACTGGTTTTGAATTTTAAGCTTATACAGCAAATTCACTTTGACAAGTTATGTGAGCTTAATTTTAATTGAAAATAAATATTTGCAAAGTACACAACACATTTGAATTATTTTTCTTCATTTTTTTCAGATGCTTTGTTAGCTGAGAAATCAGTCTATTGTTCTTGGTATAATTAAGAGTGAAGCTATGATTTCAAAATAAAATCATTAATCAATATTTTTAAAATTGAAGGACCAGACAGATAGCTCAGTGGACTAAAGTACTTGGTTAGGCAGATACAGGAATGGGGTTTGATCCCCAGTATGCTGTACTAACTCTGTCCCTGGAGCACTCTGAGAAGGTGACTGAGACTGGGCGTGGTGGCACACTCCTGCAATCCCAGTGCTTGGGAGGCTGAAAACAGGAGGACCACTACAAGTCCAATCTGTGTAGTGAGATCCTGTAGACCCTGTACAAAATCCATAAAGATATTAAAAAATATATTTTTTAAAACTGAAGACAATTTCCATTGTTTTGATCACATAAACATACACTGTGATCATGTTCTTACTATTACTGTAGTTATTAATCATTTATTTACTTTTGGGAGGTTTTGGGATTCAAACCCAGCACCTTGCACATGCGTTGCAAACCACTTTAATCTTGGACTGACTGGATTTAACAAACAGAAGTTCTCAATGAAGAAATATAATATACAATATTTGGAAACATTTTATTGAGAGTTTTATCACAAACATTCATATGTACAAATAAGTAGGAACTGTTTTGGTCCTATTGTCTGCATAGTTTATGAAATATTTATTAAAAATAGTTTTATGCATCTTCAAAATGAAACTACATTTACATAAATTTACTAATTTTTATATACATCTTAAGTGATAAACTCATGAAGACAAACAATTAGGTTACATTCCTGTGTTCTCTGTATGACTATTACATTTTATTAATATTAATGGATCTAGTGAAATAAAATTGGTTATAATATTGCAGATAATTTCAAATAATACCACAATATAGATTTAGATTTTTTATATTTTAGAGTAACTACAGTATTTTCCCTCATGCGTAGCTAATTAGTAGACACTTGAAGAAGGAGGCTTTCACCTTTTATCACAAGGCAAAATCTATTTTGCATCCTGAGCACCTCAGCTAACGTTGCTTAAGGGCATCTTGAATTCTGTTTATATCTGTAGTCTTTCATTTGTATGGCTTTATCAGCAACTGGCATTAGAAAAAAAATACTTATGAAGATTTCAGGACACTAAGTATAGTTAGTTGTTATAGTACAACTTTGTGAAAAAGCAGAGTTTAACTAAAGTTTATACTATAATTTATACTACAATTAAATCTGATATACAATTTCCCTTTTAGAGATTCACTTTTAAGTTTTTACAAAAATTATTTTACTGCTTACAGTGGCTGTCAGACTCCTACAGCAGCATACAATTAGGTGATAAGTACTGTGTTTCCAAAGATAAGGAATACATGAAGCAGAAAACAGAAAAACCACAAAGGAAGAGCAACCATTGCAAAGTCCACAGAGACATTTAAAGTGGCAGGAAATCCTTGAAGGAAGTTGGCTGGGGTCTTGGTCTGTTGCCCAGGGGCATCACTGGCAAATTTGTATCTGCTGTGTTTCCTGCAAAGCAACTGTCAGATTTCAGTCCTAGTCCTATAATCCCATCCTTTAAATTTGCCAATGAATATCCTAGATTCTGTTATTTTCACAATTGTCTACTATATCCATTGTCTTTGAAAATGAAAGACATCTTGCTATTTTGACATTCTGTTTTTGCTAGTGATATCATCATTTATAAAATATAGCAATTATCTCTGACAATCAAATGAACAATGGCAGATAGCTGCACTTCCCCCTCCCCTGACAAAAAGTATATTGGTTTAGTCATGATTTGGATGGGAGAAGAAAAGAGTAATAGAAATATTCTTTTGAAATATGAAATTAATAGAGAGGCAAATGCATAATTTTTTAAAAGAGAGCATAAAGTATTATTAAAATAGAAGAAATCACAAATGATACAGAATTTCACTAAGCAAAATGAGCTTCACAGGGACGGCCTGATAGTGGGTTAAAGTGCTTGCTCATGCTGAGTGCAGTAGCCAGGCTTCATACCAAGCCTGCCATGCCGGCCCCACCCCTGGACTGTGCTGAGATGGCAATTGAGACTGGGTATATGGGCACGCTCCTGTAATCCCAGCACTTGGGAAGCTGAAAACAGGAGAACCATGATGAGTCCAATCTGTGTAGTGAGATGCTTTAGATCCTGTCTTAAATACAAAAGCAAAACAAAACAAAAAAAAAAAAAAAACAAAATGAGTTTCACAGTATTTCTACAAATGTATAATTTAGGTGGTTTGTTCTTTTTCTTTTTTGAGAGCAGAGATAACTTATCATGGAGATGTGAGGATTAAGGCCCAAAATGTATAGAAGTCTTCCCATGCAATTAGCAGAGAAAGAAAAAGAGATACAAGTTTCTTCAGCATGTGTACTGTAATATAAAATTCTGTGTGCAGTCTCCTTTGTAGAATCTTGCTTAATTGGTTTGGGTTATATTACAAATAAGTGATACAGCAAAATGGGGCTGACACTGAAATGACCCCCAAATCCATGAATATAGTATTCTACCAACTCTCTCTCCAGACAGGTATGTAGGTTGCTAGTCCTCACAGCATAACTGTGGAACTCACCCTGAGTTTCTTGAACATCTTGCAAGAATTTCATGAGGCCACATTATTTTACTTAGAATATTAAAGACTCATTTTTTTCTCTTTCTCTTCATTTCCATTTTCTTATGAGAATTTGAAGTTGTGGGCTAGGCAGATATTGTTGTTAGTAACATACACACTAGAGCCTAGAAATTAGATAAATAGCAGCCAAACAAAATACATCGAATGATTAAATGTGCTAGCAATGTTACAATGATAGATTTACAGTAAGACAACATGCTATAGAAAGACATTTATTTAAAACTTAAATGAATGTGTTTTATCTATTCTTAAAGATGAAGTGAATGAAATACACTTTGAGTGTTTCTCAGTTGCATCTCGGAAGTCATTGTTAGCTGTTGTATAAATCCTGTTTGTTTTTAGGTTGCATTTCACAGTAGGAAAGGAACTTCTTTAAAAAGGCAGAGAACTTCTGCTTGTGTGACTTATAATTACTTAAAATCTGCTGCTTTCCATTTTGTATTCCTTCAGGATATGAACGAAGTCTCCAGCTTTATTCAAGGTTCAAGTAATGGCTGCCAAGACAACAAATTGAATTATCCTCCTTTTATGCCTGGTAATTTTTTTGTTATTTAAGTACGATTAATTGAGAATTCTTGTCATGTTAACTAGTAATGCTAACTACTAAATTCTATCATCTATTTCTAAATCATAGCCTTTAATATAATATTTAAACATTGAAATCAATATATTTTCCTTTCAACAAATGATTTCATGTACAGAATTATATATAAGTAAACCACTAGAAAGCTTTAAAATGAATCCATGGATTGATGATGCATACCACAAATATAGATAGATAGATATAGATATAGATATAGATATAGATATAGATATAGTTTGTTTGTTTGTTTTGTTTTATTTTGTTTTGGTACTGGGGATCAAACTTGGGAACTTGTGATTACTAGGCAGGCACTTATGCCACTGAGGTATGACCCCAGACCTATAGATAGGTATATTTTTATATACATTATCAATGTTGCTTTTAAATAATTTATTTAGTCTTGAAGTTTGAATATATTAGTGGTTACCAATGTAAGGATAACACTAATCATTTTTCCAAACTTAACACAAGTGGTTTGGAAAGGCCTAAGGGAAATAAAGTATTGATACTCTTTCATTATTTGTTGAAATGTGCTTTTATACACCATATCATGGAAAGGACTATACATATTGAAAAGATAAGATACCTGTTAAGAAATGTTTCCTGTGTATTTTCTTCAAGACATTTTGGACAAACTTTTGTACTCCAAAACAATTTGCATGGACGCGAAGCAGTCCTGGGGGAACCATTATGATGTCCACAGCCTGTATGGCTACAGCATGGCAATCGCCACAGAGAAGTAAGTACCGCTTAGTCAGTAATTACTTTTATTTTTAGATTGAAACTAGCAAATGTAAAAAGGGTGTTATGCTAAAATTTTGTCATTTTTCCGTAATTGTTTATTAATATTCATATACTTGAAGTGGTTGTCAAAATGAAATGGTACATGTGTTTATCAAGAATTGTATTGATTAATATATTTAAATTATTCTTTATGCTTTTAACTTAATTTACCATAACTGAATATAACTGTGTTCCAATCATGAAATTCCCAGTTGGACTAAGAAAATGATACTGCTAGAACAAGTCTTTGATGATTTTTCAAAAACATGTGTTGTAATTAAAATGTGGATTCTAATTAGTAGAATGGCAAGTAACATTTTAATGAATATGTTACTTGTATATAAAAAGGACCACGATGTAAAATAAAAGTAGGGTCTCATCCGATGTTGACGATCTGTTATTTCCCAAGTACTATGTAAGATTCTATAACATAAGTGTTAATGAGATTCAGAACTTATTCTCATTAAAATTTGCAATTTTCTCCTAATTAAGTAACTATGATCAAGTGTTAATACCAATCCGTGTTTCTCTAGTCCCAAATTACACACGACAGCAAAAGTTCTGTGCACTGTAGACTGTTACGTTGTCTTTAGTCTAGTGTAATATTCCATATTACATGAAGCCAATAATTTTATGAAAGAGAAAAACAACACTCTTTGGTTCATTATGATAGAAACTATACTACAAAAAAGACACTGAGAATATATTTTTAAGGAAATAGTTTGGATGATATCATATGCTAAATTACATTTTTGTAATTTTTAGTCATGATTTTCTATTAATGAAAAATTATTAATACTAGATATCAAAAGAGGTAAGCTGAACGATACTAGTAGTTGCGGGTGATGGCTGAACTTCCAGAAAGTAACACTATATAAAAAGTAAGACATAAATTTGTTAGAGATGAAAGTGTTTTCATCATTGCTTTCTAAAACTTGAAAATATAGGTTAAAGAATAGTCCTTGCATGCAAAAATATATTTGGAATTTAAGTTCAGATTATAAGCATTATATTTATGAAAGTAATGGTTTTAAAACAAACATTTTCAATGCAAATATTAAGCAGGTATTGCATACTTTTACTTTGGTTAAAAATGATTGAAATAATTGAAAAATCTCAATAATATCTAAAGAATTTTCTTGTTCTATGAACAATCAAATATATTTAGAAGGATTTTTTTTGGCTGGCTCTGGCTGCCCTAAAGGTGGTGTGGAGCGGCATATGGCGCTGGGGATTGAGCCGCAGTCCCCCAGCCTGCCTGGATTTGCCCATGCAGGTGTTTAAACAGCTGAGCTAACTGACAAGCCCCCAATCAAAATATATTTAAATAAGTGACATTAGGCTCGGGGTATAGCTCCGTGGCACAAGTGACAGACATTTGCGAAGTGCTGAGTCCAATTTCAAGTGCAAAAAGTGTCATTATTTATTTATTTATTTATTTATTTTTAAATATTTATTTATTTTTTTATTTA